CCCCAGCCTGCATCCCAGTGGCTGGGCCGAATGGGGGAGCGTAGGTGGGGTTGAAGCGGGGTGGGGGGGGAGCCCTGGGACTCAGGTAAGTACCACCTAGGCCTCCCACTGGGCACACCTGGGGAAACAGTGCCAGAGGGGAAAGGGCTTGTCCAGGGCGACCCTTTTTACACACGCAGGGGCTGTGGTCACCCCATGTCCCCCTCTGGATCCCTGCGAGACCTGCAGGTCTGGATGAGGATCTCAGGCCGCCTGCTGGTCGGGGGAGGCAGGGGTCTCAGAGTGTTGGGCCAGCTCTTCCCGAATCTCCAGAGAAGCTAGAAATCTGGGCTCACGTGTGAAGTCTGCATTTTTCAATGTTGGCGAAAACAAATCCCAACATACCAAAGCCTCAAAAATTGACAGATTTCAGACTTGGCCCCCTGGTCACCGGTTCGAGGCCCAGTGGGTTCTGAGTGGGGGCGGAGAGGGCCTCTTCCCTGCAAATCCCACAGCCCTGGCACAGGGGCTGGGGGCGCGGTTGGGGTGGACCAGGCTGCCCCCTGTCTGCTGACCAGGTGTGTCACAAGAGTCACCCGCAGGTCTGGTTTCCCTGAGTGCCCACGGGGAGAGTAGGGGTTCCTTTACGGGGACCTTGCACCGCACAGCCTGGAGGAGGTGCCCCCCAGTTCACAGGAACTGAGGCCGCTGGTTCCCGAAGCCCTGGGGCTGGGGATAGGGGCTGCGGCTGGCCAGCCATTCCCTCTAGCCGCCACCAGAGGGCACCACGTGCACACCCCTGAGGGCACTGGGGCCCGGGAAGTCAGGGGAGCCCCTGTCTACAGAGGTTTTGGGATGCCCTGCCTGTCCTTCGTGCCCCCCCAGCTGGAGATGCTGGGCCCTCGGTCCTGGGCACCCACCATCTAAACTTCTCTGGTCCAAAGAATGTACATCCCTGCTTGTTCACTGGGCCACGTGGTTGGCACTGACGGTGTACGTGGGTTCGGGGGTTCTGCCAGCACAGAAGGAGGTGACAACGAGGCTGGTTCCTCTCTGGGGACGCTGCTGAGGCTGGGGCTCGATGTTGGAGGGCACGTGAGGGTGTCCCCTGCTCGGGGTCTGTGTGTCCCCACCGGCACCCCAGCTGGGGCTCCGCCCACCTTCCTGCTGCACCCCTGGCGCCCACACACTTGGGGCTCGGGAACGACTGCTGGTTTCTTTGTCTAGACAGAAAGTGCAGGGTTGTCCGCAGGCAGCGCCTTGGGGGACAGGAGGGGGTGGCATGTGATGTGGAGAGGGGACCAAGCCCCCAGCGAGGGACGCTGCTCACGTGTGCTTTTAGGAGAAGCCCGACCAGCAAACGGGGCCGCTGGGCAGATGGCTCTGCATGTTTCTCTTCCTGAGCATTTGATGAGCACTGGCAGTCTTCGGCCCCCTGTGCCCCTGGGGGCTGTTCTTGGATGCAGCCGCTGGGGCTGCCTCAGTTTCCCCAGGGGCGGGACAGGAAGACACCGGATCCAGTGAGATCATCTTTGGCAAACGCCTGGAGGCTCAGGACCCGGGGTCCGTCTCGGGGTCCCAGTCGCTGAGGCAGAGGGGCAGGGCTGGGCGTGCCTTCATTCTGGCGCACAGGCTGCCCACCCCTTCCCTGGGCCCACCACCCTCCGGACTGGGAGCCCTTCGAGGACGGGGACGGGGCCTACGCTGGAGGCGTCGGGTGGCGCCTCCCAAGCCCCAGCCTCGTTCCTCCCCCACTCTGGGGCCCTGACGAAGAGCATCTCTGTTGTACACCGGGGGCACCCCAAGGTCCCATGGCGGCTGGCAACGAGAGGAATTTAGGGGTCTCGCCTGGCAGCAGGGGGCAGAGGTGAGGAGGAACGGGCCAGAGGTGTGGGGGTCCCTGACCCCACCAGGGGGTCCCAGGGGGAGTGAGGTCCACAGGGAAAGGAAATCCCAGGTCAGCCGAGGACCCCACCCTCATCGCACAGATGACAGGAAACTCAGGCCTGGGTGAGGGGCTCCCTATGTAAGGTCACTCTCCAGTCGGGGCTGGACACCGGGGCGCTGCCTGGTACAATGGCGCTCATGCAGGCAGCCCAGACGGGGAGATGCCATCCCCCTTCCGAAGTGAGCGGCACATGTGGGCACTCGGGCCCGCCACACAAGGCTGAGGGGACAGCCAGT